AAACACACACTAATGGACAAACAGCCATGAGCAATTAGGAATGTAATAGATGCAACTGTGTGTGTGTGTTTGTGCGAGAGACAGAAACACACAGGTTAAACCGAGTGAAAGGTTGACAGGTTCTTTTCTGTCCCTTCCCTGACCTTTTAAAGCAACTGTGGTGCCAGTGTAACTCTAGCACAGTTCAGAGCCTGCCATATGGGACAATGTGGCATAGAAAGGTAGAAAGCATGAAGCAGAAAATAAGAAAGCGAGGGGAAGAGAAAATGAAAAGAACAAGTGGGGGTGGAGAAGCCATAAATTAGAATTTGATAATGAAATGCAACACACTCTCTGTGAGCTCTACAATAAATCCCACCTTTGTGGAGTTTTAATACAACACTCAGTATTTATTGAGGCTGCACAGAGAGGTGTTGATTTAGCTCTGGTATTACTGAGTTTATGTTGGGTGGCACTGTAACGCTTCCAGTATCTCTATCTTGGTTCATGCCACTTCACACACATTTTGCAGGTGTGCCTGACAAAACTAAGCTAGGTAATAAACTTGTTAGGCATTAAGCCTCTCTGCAACCCCTACTGGCTTTGCAGTGCCAGTACAAGAGCCTTTAGCTGGCAGATGTGTTTAACTGTTCGCTGTCCACAGCCGTTACCTTATGTATAAAAGCATGACTGATTTAGCTTAGGGAAGGCCACAACTCCTTGCAAGACCTCCTCTTGCTCATCTGGCTGACTTTAAACAATCATTTTTCTAACCTCTGCTGTCAGTCTCCATTTCACCTAGTGGCTTGATTACCAGACGATACAGTAGTTGACATGCCTTACCTTTAATGTCTCTGTGTCCCAGACTTTCATGGTCTTGTCAAAGGAACTGGATACAAACATTCCTGTGTCATAAGGATACCACTGGACTGTTTCTACGCTAAATTTATGGACATAGCGGCTAGACCTAAAAACAAGAACAAAAAAAATAAAAATAAAACATGGGGTGAAAGCCATGTGTCATGTTTTTGATTTGGGATTGACAAAACCAGAGAGCGCAGGATGTTTTCTGTAATAAGTGAGAAAAAACTCTCATGTACAGTTAGTTCTATAAATGTTTGGACGCTGATACAATTTTCACATTTTTGGCTCTTAACTCTGACAGCTGAAACTGAAATAAAATAATCAAGATGAACCTGAAATGCAGACTTTAAACCTTAAACTGAAGCGGATGAATAAAAATACTGAACTGAAGAATTAGAGACATTTTTACACACACAACTAAACAAGTTGCTTAAAACCTGTATCATGGATGGCTGTAGGCTGTCTTTATTTCCTAATCAGTTATGCAGGCAAAAGATGGGAAGTTGACTCCAAGGCTTTCTGTGAAGCCTCAATAGTTTTCAGTGAAAGTGAAGCCAGCCCTGAGTTTCATGCTCATGACCAGAGCATGAAACTCAGATTAACCTGTTCCAAAATGCAAGAAGAACGTTCTGTAGGTCCAGAATTTGAGCGTAGAACAACTTCTGCAGTGTGATCCATGGGAATAGATGGTTTCCAATAGCACTGGGTATTGGTGTTTATTGAAGACAGAAGCAGATTGATAAAATTTTGAATGGTATTGCACAGATGTGATTTCTTTTCAGATTTAATCAAATGCAGCAACGCTAAGTCAATGATGCTTCACGTTACAGATGCGCAGTTCCCAAAAAACTATTAAAACAAGCTGGAAGTTTATTTATAAGAGTGGTATTCTGTAGTAGCAACGTGAATCCCCTAATCTCAACACAATTAAAGATGCGTTTTATTTGATAAAGACAAAACAACTGTAGACAGCTGCTGTAAAAGCCTGGCAAAACTTCACAAAAGGAAACTATTCTCAAACCCATTCAACACTCATTCGTTTTAGTTAAGATTACGCTAATTTATCCAAATCCATTTGAGCTCGTAAAATTATGGGAAGGTATTAAACAACAGCTGTAATTTCTCAGTGGTTAATGGGTGAAGGTCTGCGTTTTGATTGCATCTTGATTATTTAATTTCAGATTTACTGTGGTAGATCTCTTCTAGTTTCTGTGTATATTTTATAACCAAAACAAAAAGCTGTAGGTAGCTGGGGACAGCACTGTGTGTACAGCCCGCAATAAAATGCTACTCTCTAGTGGATGGAATTAGTAAATGGGCTAACATATACCTTCCTACTGTGCAGACTGCCTTGCAGGTGTACTGTAGTTTCCCACTGAAGTTCTCCAGGTCATAGATGACGATTACTCCGTCTGCACCTCCAGACAGCATGCTGAACAGCAGAAAAAATGTCATCTGAAATACTTTTTTTTACTTTGTCTTACAAACCTTGTAAAATATACACGCATAGATTCAATCATCAGGCTCACCCTCTGAAACCAGACTTCTGCCTTCATATTCACTATACTAACTAACAAAGATTGGGGTTACTTGTTAAAAATATGAATTTCCAGAGCAGTCAAGTCACAGTGCAGGAACGTTTCAATACTATGAATAATTGTTCTTTCATCTAAGGGTTAAATGAGTGTTTAATGTGACGTAAATATACTTACATTGTTATCTTTACTTCTACTTTATTGGGTTTTGCTTTGTTGTCATTGCTTTTATATGTTAATCTGTCTTGCTGAAATAAATTGCCCCTTTGGGATCTTAAGACTTATTTCCTATATTTTTACAGCTGCAAAGGTCTTAAACAGATTAAAAAAACATCAAGCACTTGGGTAATGTTTTTGTATTGTTTTTACTTGATTCTGGTCTGTATTTTGACCATCTTTTGTAATGCCTCTGTAAAGTACTATAGTTCTCGGATTGGTTCTTGTCTTAAAAAGCACCAAAATAAATTAATTTTACTTACTTACATACTTATCATTGAACCACTGACAGTGATTCTGCAGCATTTCAAAACTATACAGTAGAGATGGACCGATCTGATATTACGTATCGGTCTGATACTGACCTAAATTACTGGATTGGATATCGGAGAGAAATAAAAAAAGGTTGATTATGTCGATTAAGCATCATGAGGTGGAGCGTGAGGGGTGATTCCCTATTTTTTTTTTGTTGCTGGGAGTTGGAACCCTATTAGTTAGGTTGCTTAATATTTACGCTAAGTACTCTTTAAAATACCAGAATAGGGAGGATGGTGCAGGTTTATGTTTATTAGATTGATCAGTATTGCAAAACTATGAACTATTTTTTTTGCATACAGGTATAACAGAATAGCTTTATTGTTGTTGTTTTTTTTAAACTTGAGTATGAACTTATACAAAATGCAGCAAGATATAAAAAAAAAAACAGTTTTATTGATTAAAAAACACTATATTGGATTCATATCGGTATCGGCAGATATCCAAATTTATGATATTGGTATCGGACATAAAAAAGTGGTATCTTGCCATCGCTACTATACAGTAGTGTACATATGCAAGGACTTAGTAACAAACCTCAATAGTTACCCACAATAATAATAATAATATGAATAATAATAATAATAAACTCTCAGACCTTTACAGAGAACCCAAGGTTGCTTTACACATAAAGGTTTAAGGTCAAAGCCTCAGTGAGTAGTTGGCATTTCAACTATTTTATGAAAATGTTCAGAGACAGGTTATGGTGGATCTCAAGCGGGATCAGCAGCAGTGAAGGTTGTCCTCCGAAAGATCGCAATGTAGTGTGTGTAGAAATTAAATATTACAACTTTCACAGCCTATGGTTAAGATATTTATCTCTGTGTCAGGACAGCAAGTTATTTAGTCAGATAAATTTTACTTTGCTGCATGATTTTTCCAATAGAGCTTATTTTTTGTTGTTTTTACGCAACATCCCAATCACTGCAATATTGCAAGAATTAACATTCCAAGGGGGGATATTAATGAATTATTTTATGAACCTGTATGGGACATGGGAATGGCACAGTCTGGGTTCAAATCCACTGGCCGAACGGGGGTCTTTCTGTCTGGAGTTTGTATGAAAGAACTGAATAAGTGATTAAGAAAATGGATAGATTAAGCTTTGTTCACTATGTTACTCAGACTTACTATCTTCCCTCAACTGCTTCAATGTCAATGGTATTAATGCCATTTCCATGGATTCGGTCCACATCTCTGTCCGGATTCAACTGCAGGCCGAGGACCCTTTGGAAAGAGAGAGATCGCTGGGTTTCTTAAGTGAGTCACACATATTATAATGTAAAAATGTATGAAGGCAAACTGAAACCTAAGTAGTTAACTCTAAAACGTTAGAGATGAATTAACAAACAATGGCCCAGACTAAGGCGCTTAAATCTAGAGTTAGTGTTTCTTTCTTTTGTTAAAATAAATAACTTTTCAGTTTGTGGGAATTTCCAAAACATAATAAGTCTGGCACAGATTCGAGAGTCGTATGTAATACAGCAATGATGCTAACAATAGTTAAGAACTATTTATAAACAAAACCTCATGTATGTGTATTAACTAAGATGCTTGTTATGTTACATAATGTTCATATAGTACCGGTATAATTTCGATTTCATAGTTTTATTAGTCCAAAGCTTGCTGTGGACTTCTTCTTGCTAGTTATGTTTATAAGAGCTTCTCTCTCACCTTCTCGTTGATTCCGCTCGTCTCAGTCTCAGAGGGTCATCCAGACCAGCCCGCCTGGCTGTCAGAAAGCCCAACATAGCTTCAACATGAAGACAACTTCTTTCTGTTTTAACAGTTAGCCAGTATTTAAACCGCGTTACAGTTCAAAAGCTAACATGTTACCCACAATGTAGTGACGTTTTAATCCAAAGTAAGTCTCGGGACGTCCTGTAAAACATTACACGATATGAAATAGAAAAATACCCAACTTAAATACTTCCATCGTGATATTTTTACAATTCATTGCTTATAATTCAAAGAAATTTAAGTGGCCTCTCAAGAATTCAAAACAAGTCGCCGCCATGTTGGATTCTAAAGCATTCAACTACAGATGCGATGATTGGTGGGTCTGATACCGTCACCCAATCACAAAATAGTTTGTTCATTCTGTTCCCAACCCATGAACCCTTGCGTAAACGATCACCGTGAGAGGACAAACAGCGGATAGAGCTGCATTAAACTATATTTATATATACATATTCACACACAGGGGCTTTGGGTAACCCTATAAGATGAGCAGGATTGCTGCAATCCTACGGCGTGGCTTCGGAGTAGTACGCGAGCACGTCGGGACCGATCATTTGGGGAACAAATATTACTTAATCCCAGAGCAGAAGACATGGACAGGTAAACTAACATGTGTGCTAACATTAGCATCTACAGCTTTAACTACTGTTTAACTACTGCTTCTTTCACTTTTAAATAGTTATTAATGCTAGTTCAGTGCCCCTGCATGTGACATGTCTTCTTTCTCTGTATTGAGAGGTTTTTCATATGCACGTTAGCCTTGTAGTGTCATAAGATTGCCACTAGATGGCGTATTAGTCTTAATAACAACATTGTCGTATTGGATGGAAGATTTAATGCATATAGTGAAGGAGGACCTGCACAAAGATGTGTTGACAGTGGAGGATAGTTACGGATTGGGTGAGATGCAGGCAGATGATTCGCTGTGATGACCCCTGAAGAGAGCAGCTGAAAGAAGCAGAAGATAAAGAAGACGTCCATGCTGCAGTAACTGCATTTAAGGTTTTTTGGCAGTGAAGTTTTCTGTGATGAGGTTTAAATACCTGGATTAGTTTAAATACCTGCGGTCAACCATGCAAAGCAATGGACAGTGGACAAGACAGGTGAAGAAGGGAATGCAGGCAGGGTGGAGTGGGTGCAGGCACCTGTCAAGGGTTGATTTGTGATAGAAGGATAGCAGCAAGCGTGAAAGGGAAGGTTTACAAGATGGTGTAGTGAGATCTCGTGTGAGGGGTGGTGTGACAGAGGAGATTACTAGGTAAAGAGTGAAATGGAGGTGACCCCTGAAGGGAGCGGCCGAAAGAAGACATAAAAGAAGACGAGGCAGACAGTGCAGTGAGGTTTTTGGCTGTTCCACTGTTGCAGATGAAATTGTTACTCAACTCTGTGGTGAGGATTTATAAGGTCATATATCCCTTCTGAGATGTGGCAGTTCTACGGTATGTAATGCTCAAGCCAAGCAGTAGAACTGTGTCAGGCCTGTGGGATGCCAGTGGTGTCCTTCACACCCTCTCTGACTGACTTAAAAGGGCAACAACATGCCTTGCAGGTCACAGAGCAGGACCTTTGTCTCCCTTGGACTGATATTGCTTAGAAAACATCAGAGACATCTGGCTTATTGATTCCAAAGGATTTTTCCAGAATCACTGCATGTGAGCAGGATTTGCTCTCCTACACAAGCTTGTGTTTGTCTCCCTCTCTTGGTCCCACATTTTACAGGCTAGATAAAGTTTTTCTTTCACTTGCAGCGGGTGAATAGTCATTACACATCGAGGTGCTGTAAAAACAAAACAAAAAAACCCGAACTGCTTGTTTGTCTGTGTTTTTTTGGTTTGCTGAAGAGGAGCGAATACCTGGCAGGTTGCAAGCCTGCTTTCTTTTTCGACTGAACTTGACTTTGTGCTTCACCTTTTCTCAGCAGTTTGCGGGGAAACCTGCACCCACCTTGTATTTATAATTCATTACAAGGCCGCTTCTCTACCCCTGGCTGTCAGACTATTCAAATGAGACATCACAGCAGCCCATTTTTTGGCACGCTACAGGAAAAAGTGTTCACTGTCCCATCACAATGACTGACAGAGTAGAGAGGCTAGTTGGCTTATAGGAAAACTGGTACCTAGCAGACACCATCATGACTGTCAGACAGGCACCTATACAGCCTCATATATACATTCATAATAAACATAAAGGAATATATGGCAGACACATTTGCTTCCTTTTATTTCTGGCACTCAGCCTGTCCAGCCTTGTGGAACTAAAGCAGATGCATTATTCAGTCCATATGTCTCGCTAAAGCGAGCTCTTTTTGATCTTAAACTGATAGGCCAAGAAGGGGCTTTAGGTTCTTTAGGCATGGACTGCAGGGCTTTCCACTGCAGCACATGAGTAGCAGTCGATGCAGGTGAGGCAGTCATCCTCCAGCATTATCTTCACTTCATTTTGTTCACCCCTAGTGCTCCTTCCATCCACCTCTACCTTTATCCATGCTTTCCTGGTTCCATTTTCTACCTCTCTCTCAGTCTGTTATCTTTAGAAATCTGGGGCATAAGCAATCCTGACAGCCAGGGGTGGTTTACATAGTAGCACGGTAATGGTTTCTAAGACGGAGAAGAAAAAGGAAACAACGTCTTTTTTGTGTGCATCTGTCCTATCTGATTTCAACAACTTCTTCTTAGGTTGCTCTTCTTATTTGCGTTCACGTAGCCCTTCCTTCCCTCGCCCCTCCCTTTCATCGCTGCCACTGGATTTTTCCTCCTTTGAAGTATTTCCAGTGAAGATTTCTATTCAAAACACTGGAGTATTTCAGCAGTGAGGAGGGCTAGACCCAGCAGAGAGCTTTCTAACCCCTTCTCCTCAGATGCTGCTCTTCATCAAAATGAAAGAGCCTGGGTCTGAAGCACTTGCCTTGAGAGAGAAAGAGCGAGAGTCTCTGTCTTTATAAAAAAGGTCGGGCTATAAAGGCCTACCGTGTGCTGCTGCTTCATAGAAAGAAATGCGCTATAGGCTGTGGAGGCCCAGCGATTGTTGTCTGTGGCAGAGCTACTAGAGAGCTACTGGCAATCTGGCCATTGGTCTTAGAAGGTCTTTGCTTCGGTGTTGTCTCCACAGAGCTAAATAGAGAATCTATATTCTTTCTTTCTGTGTGCATCTCTCCCCCGGGCCCGGCTCTTCCTCACGCTGCATGGGGCTCCATGTCATGCTGCCCAGATGAAAGCAAAGCATTCTGTGGATGGGCTCATTTGTCTTCGGCAGTGGGCCTGCAGCTTTGACGCCTGCCTTCCCTCCCTTTATTTAGTAAGAGAGGCGCACTGACATTATCGGCCGCTGCAGGCACATTTGAAAATAATTGCCTGTATGATTGCTATTTTTCTTACCTCTTTGAGGAGGTGTAGCCTTTGTCTTGGAATCAATGGCTGCTCAATACTGGACAGGGGAAAGGCAGTTTCCTTTCATGTCTCAGTGAAAAGGATGTATTTTTAGCGCTATTCATTTTCGCAGTGTGTGCCATGCAGTTTTAATCTATTGGTCCTCTACGCTGCACGGAGAATGGAAGAGATTCAGAGGTGCACCACGCTGTTGCAGAGAAAAGATGCATTGACTTGTCGTCCTATCACTATCCCTCCTTCTTTGTCTATTATTTATTTGATTCCCCAGCTCTGTTCTATGAAGTGAAAACTGAAAAGGCCTCAGTTCTGCTATTTCAGGATGGGCGACTCTGGGGACCGAGGGAGGAGGTGTGCGCTTTTTGCACTGGCGTACGCGTATTTGATTGTGTGTGGATGTCTTTAAGTGAAATGACAGCTACACACTTTGTGTACTATCAGCTTTGTATTTAAAAAAAAAAAAGGAAGAAGAAGAAGATCTGCCATTGTGTGTTTTCTCTCCACTTCATGCCCTAACACACTTAAGACAACAACAGATGGCTGTGTGTCATCAGAGCGTTGATTCAAGCCGCATATTTCCACGGAAAGGAGTCACAGCGGAGAGCGACGAGGGTCCAAATGGCTGTTTATTCTGCCACGACTCATCCCCAGGGTGTGATGACGGAAGGTCTACCCTAGAGTAGGACACCAAGTCGGCGTTTGCCACGGTGCAGCTACGTCCAGAGACGCCACAGTAAATCACGCTAATTGATGAGCAGCTTTGCAATGCTCGCGGTTTAAATGAAGGTTGTTTAATCATTATAGGCTTTAGCTCATCTTGGTGTATACTGGCAGGGTCCTTCTAGGCATTTTAATGTCTCTAAAAATGGCTGCCAAGTGTGTATTTGTATGTGTATCTGGTTGTACATCATGGAGTGGCTTAACTACTTCATTAAAAAGGCATTTGAAAGGATAGAGGCTGAAAATGAGAGATGGGAACATTTATTTTCTATGGCGGAACATTTCAAGTGGGCCTCCATCCAATATTAGGGGTTTAAGTGGCATTTCGCAGGTCCATTAACCACTGCCTATCTGCAGTAGGACTGTATCTGTAATACATTAAGTCTGAATGTCAGTTGCATTGTTTTCACATCTTCCAAACGGACATCTTGCCAACAGAAGAAAGACAGCAAAATGGATTTAAAGAAATGTTGCCAGATGACCCAGATGTGATTCACATCCAGCACGGTCACAGCTCTGCGCGGTAAGATAGCCAGCGAGGTGTTTTGACACCTCGGGGGTCTTTGTCGGTCAGAAACTCAACCAGGAAGGCTGACAGACAGGCCAGCGCACGAGCAGCCTGCCACTGCTCATTCAATTCAGAATATTTTAATAAAGCAGACAGGCAGAGAGAAATAAGGTGAGGAGTATGGGAGAAAAGATAAGGGCGAGGGAGACTCGCGGAGGGTGGAGAAGAAGGTGGGTAACGGGAAAGTGAGTGACAAAGAACAAAGGGAAAGCTGACATATGGGGTGAAATTATAGAGTGTGGGGAGAATGGAGAGAGTAAAAGTGAAAGAAGGGTATCCTGACAGAAAGAGGGTGAAATGAGTGGGTGGAACAGGCGGGCATATAGAGGGGGAGAGAGGGGAGGTGGGGATAGGTTAACGCGGAGAAACAGTGGGGGGACTCAAGGTGCAATGGAGGGAAAAGGAAGAGGGCTGGATGGGAGTGATGCGGGTGAATAGAAAGGGGTGGACAGCTTGGTGTATGGACATCACACAGATGGGCCTCTTAGGAGCCGCTGAGGTAGCAAGGGGCTCCATGCCGCTCCACAGCCTTACAAAGGACGCTGACTTCCTGGCTCACTACATTCCTTTTTTATAACCACTGGGCAGGAAGGAAACTTGAATTTGGGTGGTCTTGGGCAGACGGGGCCACGGTATCTCCACTAGCCTTAAGCTTTTAGTTAAAAGTAAAAACACAGGGGAAATCCAAGTATTCCTCTTAAAGCGCTACTACTTCGATATGAGTTGTTCTCCCCTGTTCCTGCAGTGAGGCGCTCCAAGCCTCAGCGGGATCGACGGCAACAGGGACAAACAGATCGAGGGCTGAATGGAACTGAAAGCAGCGGCAGGAAGCCTACTTTAGACCTAAGCTCCTCCTCCCAGCTGAAGTGATGCAAAACAGCGACTGGCCTTTTCCCTCTAAACCGCATCCTGCATCACTTGGCTCTGGGCTAATGGGTAACCATGGTTACAGGCCTCACACATCCCCTCCATTTTTGTTTCCCAGGGAAAGAAATTGGAGTGAGGGAGTTGTGGGGGCTGTCCATATTGTTACCTGCTTGCCCTTGTATCCCTGAAGCTTATCGGATCACTCCATCTTCATAAAGCTGTCCATTACGATGCACGTACTGGTCCCCCATTCCTCTCCAGCAGCACGGAGAGGAATAAACGAAGCTCAAATACTGCTCGCTGCTTCAGGGTGGCTTTTTTTGTTTCTGCACTGAACCAGGCCTAAAAATCTCTGGTTCGCTTCCCACAAGCACAAGGAGTGGAAGGAGAAAAAACAAAAAAAACAAGCCTCTTTCTGCTGAGATGTTGTTGCAGTTTTTTTTAAAAGTCTGCAGTTTTTTTTAAAGTCTGCATTACAATTCAGACCCACAAAGCTGGGGTCCAATGCAGAGAGCTCATTCAGCTGCATCCTGTCTACGTTAAAGGACTCTCATTACCCGGATGTTGCAAATCGAAGTGCGTTCCCTTGACATCCGCGTCTGTAATGAAAAACGGAGTGCGGGAGAAAAGTGTGCAGTGGAGGCGACAGCGCAAGATGCCTGGAATGACATTGTGGAGGTGAAAAACCTCTCAGGTCGCCCTCAGCGGTACTCACCTGGGAGCTGATGTGTGAAGTTGGGTGTGTGCGTGTGTGTGTGTGTGTTGAAGCAGGTGATGGAGTTTAGCGGGGTGTGTTCGGGGTTCAAAGAGCAGCCCTCGGAGCGCATCATGTCTTATTTTAACGAGTGGGAAGGATTGAAGTGTGGCTGCCACAGCAACCCCCCTCTGTCACCTCCCTTCCTTCTTTCCTTCCTTCCTTTTCCTCTCCCATCCCTCCCCCACAGGTTCCACAGCTAGGCTCACAGATGAGTCGCGTTCAGACAGGTGAGATGGCTCATGAATATTTATGCAGTGGGATTTCATTCCTGTTGCCGGTGGCCCCTCCCCTTCTCCAACGCAGCACTGCGTTTGTCCTTCACGGTAAGAGGCAGCGTCCTCGCTCCTGTCCCTCAGGTTAATCTGCCTGCTCTCCAGCCAGTTGTGCGTACGCGCGCGTCCGTGGTTGTGCGCATTTGACTGGTAAGTAGGTTTCCCCTAGTGAGTGATGAGAAGGCAGACCTGTCACAAGGGGGCCCGCCGAGATGGAGAGCTCCCAACACCCTTCATACCTCACTTTCTCTCTCCCACCGCTCTCTTGCTCTCTCTAAAGGTGGGGGAGTAGGTGTGTGCAAGGCTGAAGTGCGAAGCAGAAAGATGGCTTACACCTGGTCTGATGACTGTATGTGTCAGGAATCCTAAAGTCTGTAGACTCCAGTAAAGCTCACACTAGCGATATATAACTGAGATATTTTAGGTACAAACGCAGACGAATATGAATGATATGAAAAGAGATGATTTGTAAATATAGTCATTTTTATTGTTGTTGGCAGTTTGGTTATGATACATTAATTAAAAAGTAAGGCTGTATGCACTAATTGTAGTTCTAATACTGCGTATTCTTATATCAGCTGTTGTAGAAGCAGTACGGCAGTATGACTATGGCCCGTGTCTCTGTGTTTGTGCATGTTTCATTTCATAGCCGTACAAGAACAGCGATTACCTACAGAGGGAGATTCACCATATCAGACTGACACACCTCCACCCAACACGTATGTGATGGGAGGATCGGTCGTGTTTCATAAATATATGTACATACTGTATTTGTTATTTAAATGCGGGGATAAAGGCTGTGGTGGAAGGGGTTTAGTCATGCTGCAAAAAGCAACAAGACAAGAGGACAGCCATGTTGGAGTGTGACGGAGAGTAAAGGGGGAGGATGCAACCCAGTGAAGAGCGATGGAGACAGAGAGAGACAAAGTGGGTGCCTCTCTTTATGCTTATTAGCCAGGCATTAGCTGCAGCTAAGCACATTGCTTGTGGGGACTGTAATATAATTGTACCATTTTTGTCTGCTGCCACCCACACCCCATGCAAATATGGATATGATCTGTTCATAATTAGCATACCTGTTAAATGCATTTGTTAGTATTGCCTGGAGAGCACAGCATTTTTGCTTGCTGGCAGTTGTTTTTGTTGTGCTATAGTGTGTGTGTGTGGGGGGGGGTTTCGAGGAAAGTATTTCTCAGAAGACATTTTAAGGCATGAATGTAAATAAGTGACAATGTTTTTTTGCACATTGCCCGGGTTTAAAGTATGCAGTGTTTTGTCAGACCTGGATACCACTAAAATAAGGCTGCAAAACTGGAGCCTGTGGGGTCCTATAGTGACAATCTAGTGGGAACCAAGGCAGAACCAACGCAATAGTAGCCTAATTAGATGACCTGATTACTATATAGGCTGGATAAAGTATGGAAAGGAATCATCCTCATAAGAAGTAATTACAGAAGGGAACATGGATGAAAAATGCTTTTGTCTTCCCCAAAACGAACTTGAGCGGGACAAATACATTTCAGTGACACAAGTGAAGCAAACACACAGTCGACACTTTCTTCTTCTTCTTCTTCTTCTTCTTCTTCTTCTTCTTTTTTTTACCAGGATGTCATCATTTATCCATCCCAGTGCCATAGCTATCTGTTATGGCTGAAGTAAACATTAAGGCCATCAGTCTGCAGTGTGCATGGAGGTGGTTGCCTCCATTTGTCCATGTCCAGTCAGCTGCGGAGAAACTGTGATGGATTCCTGACAGATTGTCTGTGTTTTGGAGCGTGTTGTTTTTCCTTGCCCATCCATTTCTCTCCTTCTAGCCATGTTTGCCATGCATCATCACTCTCCCTCCTTCCACCTCCTCTTTCTTTTGCCTCATCATTTCTCAGAGGGATGGAAGCGATAGGATAGACACCCGGCTACCTGTGAGGAGAAACTATGGAAACACAGCGCTTGTTATTAGTGAACACTGTGTGACGCTCTGTAGCACCACCCAAAGACATACACAACTGGGTCTTTTTTTTAAATTCTCTTGCTCTCTCTCTCTTATTCTGCCTATATCACTCTCCGTTGCTCCTGCCACCATCTCCGTGTCATTGTGTGCCAGCCCGACTTGTCTAATCAGCAGATTTGTCCAAAATAATTGGCGGTGGCCTTGCTGCTAGCGAGCGTTGTGCTGTATACAGATAGGGAAAGGAGCACTTAATATTCCACGCAGCTCGTGCCTCTCCTGTTCTCTGTCATATCTGACCTCTTTTGTCTCCCGCTCGGCTTGATGTTGATTTTGGAGGGCATTGTTAGCCGGAGAGCTGTGATTGGAAGAGGTTGTCAGTGAGGGGGGCTGTGGTTGGTTGGTTTAAAGGAAGGCTGATTTGCATAAAGGCTTAGCCCAGATTTAGAGCCACTCAGCAAGATCTGAGGAGAAGGGCCCGAGGGCCGCGAGGTAATCATCCATGGCCTGTCACGGCGCTGTCATCCCTCTGCGTATTTGTGTGTCTGTCTGTATCTGTGCGTCTGCGTGAGCAGGAGACTGAGAGCATTGTGTCTGCGCTTTGTGTTTGTCCTGTTTCGCGTTTTGTATGCATCGTTGTTGGGCGTCTCTATCTCACTCTTGTTTCCTCATGCTGTCTTTTTTTTTTTTTTCTTTGCTTTTGTTTTTTTTTCCAGGAAGGATTGTCCGTGCCAAGCGGATAGTAGAAGCAGCCAATGCTAAAGAATATGAATATATGGAAGGCAGCATTCCGATGGAGTGGGACGGTAAGTCTGGGCAGTAGCATCACTGTTACATATTTTAACTATCACTAACATGGATAAATGGCAGTGTTTACAAAAAGAGCTATCCGGGAGAGTTTATTTAAAAGGAAAAAAAAGTGCTGCACAAATAAACTGGAGTGACATATTCATGCTTGCATCTTTTGGGGCCTCAGCTAATCCACTGATTTGTTTTTTTCTTTTCCCCCAAACTGCAAGATGGAGTTGGGGGGCGGGGTTGTGAAAAGGGTATTCATGAGTTTATCAAAGATGCCTTCTGCTGGTGTTATACAACCGTACCATAAAATAGTGTTTCAAATTTCTTACAACTGGATACAAACTGTTCCCTCTGTCTCAGACTGGCTTTATCCACCTTAAACCCCTCATCCTGCTTCGCCCCATCCCTCATGCATTTTCATCAGGATGCAAATAAGAAAAGGATAAAAGAGGCCCAGAATCCCCGTGCTAGCTGGAGGAAGAGTTACAAAATCTCTCTCGCTCTTTCTTGCTGGCTCCCTTTACCCTTCTGTGCTGTGCAGCCAGCTCAGCCAAAATAGAGCTTCTTAAAAAGAAGAAGTGTGTGGGGGGGGGGACAGACAGACACAGTTCTGCTCGGGAGGAAGAAGAAGGACAGAGGTATTGATGAAGAATGACAGAGTGTGTGCTTTCAAATTCAAAGATCAGAGCAGATCCCCTCTTTCCCCTCTGAGATGCAGAGCCCGATGGCCCTGTTCTGCCTACACTAAAGCAGTATTAGCGTTTTGAGTTTGCCATGTGTATAACTCTGGATGTTTTCCCTATAGAGTGCTAAGTAAAATGAAACAAAACAAACCAAAAAAAACCCCCGCATACAGTCCCCGAGCTAGTTTGGTTACCCGGTAGTTACGCTGAGCTACTGAAGTGCCCCCGAAACTCTGTGATGCTATAGTTGCAGCTTTTAAATATGACTGCAGGTTGTGTTTGTGCAGCATATGTTTGTGTGGGTGTTCTCACTCGTCTTATTTCTGCTCTCTCCTCCTCCTGCTTCTCCTCCAGCTTGGATCCGAGGCAGACGGAAGGAGCCCCCCTCCATCGAGGTACGTCTCCACCCAGCCTCCCCACTGTGCTGATGGTTGGACTCTGGGGGACTGGTTACAAGGGAGGGAAAGAAGCAAAGATGGGAAGGAGAAAGGCTTTGATTTGTTTTATCTTACAGTCTCGAACTGAATCCGGGAACTTTGGGGGACAGGTGTTAAAATAAACAGCAGCTGAAGTGCATTGATGGTGAGGCTGAGAGCAAAATCAGCCTCTGAACAAGGGGCTCACTGACACCATGTCCTAGTTTACTTTCTTTCTCCTTTTTTTTCCAGCAGAAGCCTGCATCTCGCCTTTTTTGTGTTTTATTTCTGGCAGCCTGTGATATGGGAATGGTGAAGGAGTGCAGTTTTTCCCCCTTGTGTACCTCTCACTGGGTTTATTGCTCTTTAAATGTGAGAATGCTGGAAATTATTTGGCCTGTGAAATGTAGGTCTATAGGAAATCCCTTGGAAGGCCAATACCCAGGCACTCTTTCTATCTCTCTGTCCACTCTGCCTGCCAGTAGCCAATGCCATCCCCTGCCTCTACTGCCAGAACATTCTCTTCCAATTTTCTGCCTCGCGTCTGCCCAATAGCTGCCATCGACAGCTGGACAGTGTTGATGTGGCCAAGGCTTCACTCCCCGCACATTACCCTACCCCTTGTCACGCTCCCTCTTTTCCCGGTCCAAGCCGACATAAATTGATTGGATTAAATCCTGTCATTAACAGGCTGGAAAAGCAGCTCAGTATGTTTGTCTCCCTCCCCAAAGCAGGGCTTTTTGGCCACAGCTCTCCCCTCTCTTTTCCAGTCCTTCATTTCAGCCAGCACACAACAGCATTATGCCCATTCCTCCCTTCCTTTCTGGCTCCTTGAGCTAGGGCGAGGCTAACATCACTGGACACTAACAGTGGCTCAAGTGGGTAACTATTCCACCAGTGGACTGTGACCAGTTTATAACTGTTTCCATGGAGTGGTTTATATTGCGAATGTCTCCTGTCATGTTAGCTTACCGATGTGTTCCAAGTACTACATTTTTAACCAGGTTTTATTGGACCAATCCAGGTTAACTGAACACGTTTGTTATTCTTCTGGTGAATGCCCTACTTCATACTGGACACGTGCACACATTTGTTCCTGCAAGCTTCCCAGTGCAGCTTAATTTCTCCTTTAACTTTGACTGGTGAGCAGCTGACGCTCTAAGACGAAACAGAGATAGTCGATTAAGGAGTGGAAATTATCACCGCTTGAGTTTTGCAGGAGAGTTTGTAGTTTCCAGCAAGTAGGACATACTCAGATTTTCCTATCTTCACGAAACTGCCAGCTCAAGATTTCCAACACCACAATCAGATAATGTCCAGCTGGGTGGGTGATGCAAATGGATAGAGTGTCAGAGATGTTGCGTGCCCTCGTGATCTCAGGAGCTCATTGTAATTTATTGTTAAGAGGTTCCAAAGAGTGCAGTGTTATACATTCACAAAGCAGAAGTGGTCTATTTTTAATCTTCTCTTTCTCTGTTGAGTTTCACTGAGCTGAAACCTGCAGAAAACACTGCTAGTCAGCTAGTCCTGAAAATGTTGACAGAAGTTAATCTATTTCCTTTGTTAAAGCCAGCTTTCTTCTGATTGGTTGCTGCTTGCAAACAAGTAAACGTTAAAAGTGTTTGGGGCTTCTGGGCTTAAAGAGAGAGCTGTTTGCCTAAACTCACTGCATCCAGGATACCTGCTCTCGCTGACATCATAGAGAGCTGAGAATAAAAAAAAACTGTAAGAAACAGAGACATAAGTGCAGTCTGAAGTCTGAGCTTGACCCCCAGACGTCAGACTGCTTATCCATATACAAAACCTGGAGCCTCAGCCTCTCTAAAAGCATAATAGGGTAAATTATTATATAATAAATGAATAAGCTTATGACATTTATCTGAGTCCTGGTCAGGGGAATTATTGCTTCTAATTATTATTGTTATAGTCTATATCTAGAAACCACTGATACAAGTATTATTTGAATTATTATTATTATTATTATTATTAGTCAGAAATATCCTCATGGGATTTCCATTATTCTGTGACATTTAAAATGGTGTTCAGCTGCACTGTGTGCAGTATTGAAAATGTCTTAGAATTTGACGATGGCTGCAGAAACCCTGAGTATCCACGTATGTTTGTGCATTTTATAGGAGCTGCTGAAGAACGAGTCCAACAGGGAGCAGATAAAAACAAAAGCCAAGGAGGTGGAGGAGAAAGATCGGGCTCTGCTGGCTAAAGAGTACAAGGAGGGTCTGGTGGCGACTCCAGCAAGGATTGCAGCCAAGGGCCACGCAGCTGCCACCAGCTTCGACAAGCAAGAATTCAACGAGGAACCAACCAGCACTGCAAACACGTTCCAGCCTGGCTCCTGGATGCCCACTTCCAAGAAAGACTAATCCAATCAACAAAAAGGGGCCCTACAATAAAATTACTTGAGATTTAATATTGGAAATTCCTTCCAGTACAATGTCGTCAACGTCCCCATAAATTTTGGGTGTTTA